GAATCATTCTTTAGGTGTTCAACAAGTTATTGTTGCAGAATATTGCTGCAGTGATGACAAGCTCCATTTTCTTTCACAAGAAGTCGTCACCTTGGCACCGAAAGACCAAACTCTAGTTGAACAAACAAAAAAATTCACATCAGAAAATCATCCGATACAAGCGGGGGAGGGTGGGGTTATGGTATTATAGGATGGAAAGAAAGTTCACTTCGTGCCGCAGAGAAAATAACTCAAATCTTTATATATTATGTTGTTCAGTGTTGACAAATAGGATTCCAAGTACAAAAACCATTTCTTCAGAGCTAAACTAAATCGAGCAATGCAGAGAAACTACTCTTATAATTTCCTCGAGGTTAAGATACATTCAAGTAGAGATGATCCACCAGAAACAGCAAAAACGAATCACGTTCCATCAATTTCATCTGGGAAAAGGAGAACTTTTTGTTACCAAACTATGCTTGTCAAACTAAATCAAAATCAGTTAAAATACATGCATGAAATTAGTAACATCTGCTATGGATACAAGCCAGATTTAAAGTGAAACTGTGTATTAAACTTTATTCATTCCTCAAAAGAGTGAACTTTGCGTTTTACATCCAAAAGAATAGTACAAACTTGAAACTTAAGACAGATAATGAATGACCAAACTAAGGTACAATTAGCATGTAGAACGGGGTAGAAGATATATTAAACGCCTACAAAAACAGATACATTTCATTTAGGATGCTAACAAGCTTTCAAACTTCAGAATAAGACACTGAAGCATTTTTTGAGGATCTCTAATTGTCCCAGTATATTCTTTCATTCTTTTGGAAACTCATGTGCCTGCAGGAACCAAATATTCCAATCAGAATACCAGATAGCTCACCACTCCTTCCACTCAAAAAAAATGCAGGGCAATTTTTTATTTAATCAAAGGGGTTCTTGAATATACTTGGTAACAATAATTTTGTAGTGATGAGAACTAAAGAGTTCTATCTTATTAGATGTGTTCAAAATAGCAAAGATGTTACATAAACCACTAAAGTTGGAAACAAAGCCATTCTAGAACACAATCAAATAAGTCAATTATGGTCACTTCTAACCTCAGCCACATAAATGGCTCCTTGTTGTATGGTTTCACCAAGAAGCAACTTTATAGTTTTGAGTAAGGCACAACCACTACAAAACATGAAAATTAGCTAGTTTTAATGAGAAAGGACTCTTTCTTTTAAGACAAAGAGTGTCAGACTCTTTTTATGGAGCAAAGAGATTATCATAGAAGAAACAGTGAAATGTTTTCCATATGAACTCAGAAGTTACCATACTCATAAAAGACCTACCTCAATATCACGAATATCTTCATGACAACAAACTATGACAGGTATCATGTTCACAAACACATTGTACAAGTTCTCAATTCAGAAAATAATTTTTACTACCGAACGGCTACTAACCTGACAGTTTTTATTGAAAAAACAACTTATGTAGAAGAGGGAATATCATAGAAGAAACATTTAAGCATTTTCTATAGGAACTCAGATGTTACCATACTGACACAAGGCCACATTCTTAGGAAAATTTTCATCACACACAACTATGACATGTATCATGTTCGCAAACAGCCAAACACATTGTACAAGTTGTCAATTCAGAAAACAAAATTTTACTACCGAAAGACTACTAAGCAGGGCAGTTTTCATTGAAAAAAAACTTTCATTTTCTCAAATTGTGAAAAGCAAAAGCTCACTTCTCCGGAGATACAAACATAGCAAATGCAGAAGGCAGGATTTTTATTATAAAAAAATCCATGATTAAAAAAGAACATACTTTCTTTTGTAATTTGGGAGTAATAAAAGACATGCTAGAGGCCTGGAGAAGTGCAGCAGAGAGTACCCTGTGAAAGAGCCCTAGAATCCCGAGACGTTGAGCTGAGACATGACGTCATCCTCGCCGTAGCAACGGCGGTGTGCAGCGGCAGCATCGACGCGGCGCATCCCAACTCCGACGGGCACCTATCATGCATCAATTCTTCACCGATCCATACAAAGCATTCACCAACCAGTCGTACAATACATTAACATATAAGCGGAGAATATACCTAGAGAAGGAGAATGGTCGAAGCGGGGAGGAAGCGGATCTGGACGGGAGGGAGGAGGCGTGGAACGACGACGTCTTGGGCGATTGAAATTCGGGCTTAATCGCAGATCTGACAGATGAAAGAGAAGCTCGATTAATGATTCTGCTGCATCTGGAAGCCATTTTCGAGCAATCTGTAGAAGCTGAAATTGGAAGATTTGGATGTATTGAAGATGACGATGACGATGATGGGAGACCGAGGCTTATTTACTAGGGTTTAGGGGTTTACTTCAAAGAAGAGGCCCGTTTGGTTATTCCTTTGCCCAAAACTCAAAAATGAAGATGGAGATTTCCATTGTTATAGGTACATTTTTCAATAGTTTCAATATTTAACTTTTATATCTTAAAAAAATTATTTAATACGAGTAATATTTTTAACATTTAATTTTAATATTTTAAAATCATTATACAAGGGTAATAGATTATTTTAACATTTTCAAAAGTCTATTGCACCGTTAATAAACTTCACATGCTAATAGTAATAAAAAACGTCGTTTCGAAATAAAGCTTTATTACTATATGCATTTACGCGGCTGAGCAAAAAAAAGTTACCCATTTGAACAACGAGAAAGCGATTCAAAAAATCAGGTGATTAATTCACAATTTTTGAAATTTTCTAAATCGATGAACTGAATCAAGAAAACGTGGCACTCCACATCGTGAATCCGGTTTCTAATTTGGAGAATCAATGAACGGTTAATTGGAATTTTTAGTATATAAAACAATATATTCTCCGTCTCTAAATTGATTTCAAGGAAGCCAAAGCAAAGAAAAACTCAAGTTTTTTAATACAATTTTTAAATATAAATTGTCATAATAAATAAATACAAAAACTTGTACATTTAAAAAATAAAACCTAGTCGTATATGTTTGTTACCGTAATATAAATTATCCGCTTGTAATTTTTTCTTTTGAAATAAAATATGGATCACTCATCTTTATGATTGTATATAAAGGTCAACAATATGAAATTACTTGTAAATTACAAACAAAAGATTATAACGTAGGGAGTACATTGGATGATTGGTTAACCGAAAGCACAATTAGCTGAACTAAAAAACCGATTAGTCGAAATTTTTCAGACTCATTCGGATTCACCATTTTTTGGTCAACCAAATCTTTGATTCACCAAAACATGGTTTATTGATAGTATTTCCGACACGATTTTTGTGATACAACATAAGGGAGAGCCACACCCTAAAAGCTAGCTGTTAAGGTGTGAGAACCTTGGCCATATAAACTCATCATCAAATCCTTCATTTGACCGGTGTGGGACAATAAAATTAGTTCGTATCATTTTGATTGACAATATTGTCGAATCAAAATACACAAAATCTAGTTAACAAAATATAGTAACTGAAAAAAAAGAAAAAAGAAGTCATAATTCCACAATTAAATCATCCCAAAAAAATGATACAGTTACAAAAAATTACATATCTTTATGTTTATTTATAGGTTTTTATCAATTACTCTTTCTGTCTAAAAATTATCTTTCCGTTTACTAATCTCAGCAGCAAAATTTATTCACTTTACTGACATTTTTTCATTACAGATTTGATGAAATAATATAGTCATATCATCTCTAATTTTATATATCTTATTATGTACTCCGTAGTTTTTTGCGAAATAATATGTAAGTTTTACAGATTTTTTTTAAATTTTACATCATTTTTCATATAAAATCATTTAAACATAATTTCTATCAAACATCAAAATGCATAACAAGAAGATAACTTTTGGATGGTGCTATCTTTTTTTAAAACTATTGACATAATTTTTAAGTATGTAAATTTTATTTTTTATTTCTATACCAATCATTGAATAAAATAAATTGAAAAGGCGGAAATTTAGCTTCATTTTGCATATTGTGATAAATATTTTGGAACAAAGAGAGTACATTACTATAGATTCAATAGTGCCATAAAAAACTACAGAGTACTAAGGTCCTGTACTCTTTACTTGATCGGATTAGTTCTGATACGATGAAAATAAGTTCTAATCTGATCTAATCTAGTACTCCATGATTTAAATGTAATTATATTTAAAATTATTTCTGAAAAAAGCTCCCATTTTGATATGAGAATTTATGTCTTGAGGACAAATTTGGATGGGTAACACTTGGGTTGCCCTTACATTATCACATCAAATCAATAACATAAAAGGTCTATACATAAGTATATTCTTCAGAGTTCCGAGTTTGGCCCTCTAATAATTGAAACCAAATTTGAATGGATAAATCCCATTTTATCACCAAAACCTGACTTCAATCTGTGCGACCACGATAATGATTGTCTACATATTTAGTTCCAATCTAGATGGGGCCTATTAAATTTGGTTCCACCAGATGGAGCTATATAAACAATATTGTAGAAAATAACCCAAACCAAAACTAAAATTGTCAATCCTAAGAATCAAAATAACCCGACCCGCGGGTAGAATCAATGAAACATTAATCTAGTGAATAATAGTAACCCTAAAAAATAAAATTGGAAGGGGAGAATTTCGCAAAAAAAAAAAAGAAAAAAGGAAGACAAGTGATAACCACCAAAGTACAAGAATGCACCAATTCCCTCCATAAACAAAACTATAGAGGGAGTGGTGCATCCTACAACTAATGCACCAACCAACCAAGTGAGAACTTTTTCACATTGAAAATTTTAACCCGCTCTACAATGATAAATAAATAAAAATATACAAAAACTGCTCTATGCTATGCTAGAGAGAATCACAGTTTAGCATATTGGGTATTATTAGTTTTACATTCTAAAAGGCCCCCTATTAGCCATGGTGATGGCTATTTACCTGTCAATGAAACCATATATTATGTTTACTTCATTACCTCATAAGACAATGAAAGAAGAAGAAGTCTTGCCCTTAGAACTAGAGTGGAGGATGTTGAATGAACCTGATAAGACCAGTTATTTGTTTTTAACCTTTGGATGTAGGACCCCTATTGTGGCTCTTGACAACTTTATCATGTGAAACAGAAGGGAGCTTTGGGAGGATCAGTGAGCTCTGCAAGCCTTCCAATAACTGCAAATCAGTAAGTTAATAAATGTCACCAATAAAAAAGTGGAAAGAAACAAAAAAAAAATACCAAATGGCCAAATTTCGATTCATTATTGATTCATACAGTACATTACAACATTCTGCTTAAAGATTAAAGGTCAGGGGAGGGTGTGTAAAACAGCTTAAACAATAGAAGAAAAGTAAGCCCAGCTTCATGTGGCAAGAACAAATAATCAAAGCACTGCAGATTTCAATGTAAAACACACACAAACGCGCGCACACACACACATATAATAAAGAAAATGCTACCCACTCCTTCCCTCCTCATTATTGTACATTTTTAAAATTGGATAAGGCATGGCCATTAATTACAAACATCTTTCAAAATTGTTTGTTGATTTTACAAAGTATATTATATGCGACTCCAGTACATGTTTTAACAAATTTAAGGCAATGAACTGACACTATAAAGGCATACTCACCCTTGATGTTGGCTGAATCTTGCGGTTCGACCGGCGCGGTTCATTGATTTCAGAAGCTGCTGTGTTGCTCACCATCTCTTGTTTTGCTGACTTCCCGCCAACAGTGGCAGAGTTTCCCCTGTTCGTCCGTTCAGATCTGTTCCTCAATCTTGAACCCTTTTTGGCAACAGGTTCAGCAGGAAAAGCCTTTGACTCAGCTACCTGTTCAGCACTGGGGCCAAATTTAACTGAATCTGAGTGACCTGAATCACTCATCTCGTGACTGGCATCACCAGAGGTAGTTGGAGTTGACCTCAAAAAGTTATCTCTCAAGATCTTGCTTGAAGCAGTGGGTGGTTTCCTAGATCTAAGCGGAGGCTTGGATTTTGATTCAGCCATGAACTTCTTCTCCTTTGGATCATCCATTTTGGAACTATTTCTCCATCCCCCAAAGCCTGATCTCGCTGGAATCCCATATTTTCCTGAATCATTTGTTGAACTGGCAATGGTGGTCTTAACACCCCCCCTGTTTGAATCATAATGTTTGCTTACGTCCATGAACTTCCTCTTTTTTCCAGGTGAAGGAACACCGAAAACTACTTTTGACCGTTGTTTTTGTAGTAACCCAGACCTCATCGTCCTGTGTGGGGCAGGTTTGGGCTTGCTATTTTCATTCCTCAGGCTACCAATATTAAATTTTCTTTCTTCCTCACTTAAAGGGATCAATTTCGGTTCTTCTTCAATTGTATCTAATTCTGGCATATCAATATTTGTGGTGACATTCGCCTTTTCCCTGCTCTCCTCGCTAGTAGCATTTCCCAACTTCATTCTCTTCTCCTTTGGGGTATCGCCCTACAAAACATATCAACCAAATACATAAAATTACTCCCTCTGTTCCTTAAAAAACAAATGGAGAATCTCAATTTTGTGGGCAGAATATGTTTAAAGTTCACATTTGTATGATACTCACCTGAGAAGACTGCTCTTTTCGAGTGAACCACTCAATCCACTCGCCATCCTTCCAAACGAGTCTAGGGCGAAGATTCCACACTCTAACGACAACATTATCTCCGCGAGCTGAAAAGAGCTCTTTTTTCAGCAATCGTGCTTGAGGCTATTTCTGTTGGAAAAATGTGTGTGTGTGTGACATACCTGGAAAATTGACAGTGAATGTAGTTTCATCCTTTTTGTTCTTCTCAATAATGATTCCTTCTCGCCAGCTTCAAATAAGTAGGCATTAGAATTGACCACAAAATTGACAAGGACAAAACCAAATATCAATTAGTCTGTTTCATGAAAAAAGAGTCCTCTTTCACAAGTCTCGACATGTTTTTATCACATAAAAGGATCAAACTTAAAAGAAAATATGTCAGTTTTCACTATATCAAATGCTTTTAAATATTTAAAAAATTGCAAAAAATAAGGTATCTTAGATTTACTTAAACTAACAAATAAATTTGAAAACATATCTATATTTGATGTATTTGTGTTTGGCACATGTCATGAGAAAATAAAGGAAATAATTGTTATATTACAACTTTAGCAAATGAAAAATAAGAAAAGCAATATGAACCCCACAAAATAATTGAGGAAAAGGATAGAGAGAAGAATAAAGTAGGAAAGGGAAAAGTTAGCGGAGAAATTCAAAAGGTGATAATTTTGGAACATACTAAAAAAGAGTGTGTATCTAACAAATGGGACAGAAGGACTTGTAAACAAGGATAGCTTAATCATAAATCAGCTCTATCTAGCGAACCTTTGTTCTTTCCTCATCATGATAGGCAGAGTCTATGAAAGGTGGAAATGATTATAACCAAAAACAAAAT